TGACCCTAATTGTGTGGTGTGCCGTTTTGGACTTTTGGCGAAGCGGTATGGAAGTGCACGAGTCGGTAGCTCGCCCTCAATGAGTTTCTTAAATTTCTTTCAAATTGCAACTGCCTGCGCATCAACTCAAAATTCATCCCAAGGGGTTGTGCACGAAGACTCGTGATCCTCTCGTATAAATACGTAATGTGTGATGAGTAGATGCATCCTATGAAGTTTCATACAAAAAAAATCTGTTTCGAAAAAAGATCTTCGAAAACCCTCGTTCGGGGACAGCTCACAGACACATGGGCAGAGCCAATAGAGTCCATGGCACGAGGAACGTGGTGGGGCGGCCTCGTGTTACTTGACGAGGAATGAATTAGTCCAACCTCCCGAGTTCAAGGGTAAAGGCAATCCTTTTTCTCAAAGATCGAAAACATTAAAAGGGTAAAATGCTCATGCTATAGGTTTTGATGAAGCCAAAATGATTTCCTGCCAAAGGTGCTCGAAAAATAAGTACATGAAAGCTCACCCATCGCCCGGGCTTCTTACAGCTTTACAGTGGGAATTTGAATTTTTTCATTCACTTTGAATTGTTTACCAAAACAAATGCTACTTCCATCTATTCGGTCTTATTTTAAGGGGTAGTTCATTCGCCATCGATATGGAGGAGATAGAATCTTGCTTTTCTCGTACAAGATTTTTTAGGGAATTGAACTGAAAATTTTGAAAAGGAATTCTAAGTAGATCCGCACATAGCGTTTGTTCCCTAATTACTCCAGCCGCTTTCGGTGACCCAGTGCTTTAAAATACTCCTTCATGATCGAATAGCAGCATCAAGAAATCCAGTCTTATATCGGATTTTTGAAAGTTCCTACATAGTACATAGTATGCCAGCAAGCAGTTAGAGCATTATTAAAGTCTCACGAATTCAGGGGAGCTCGTCGTGCGTTACTGCTCTCTTTGACGCTGAACATCGTCGTATCCTTCAGGTCAGTCCCTTTGCACCTTTCCACAATGCCAATCGCAACTGAAACTCACTAACACTTCCAACTAATTTTCTTGTTGGTGGTTCAATACTGTTAATTGTTTGCTGCAGATGAGGAAGTAATTTTCAGTGGAATTCTGGCTGTTTCGTTCTTTGGAACGTTTTTGCTTCAATCGATCGGCTTCAGTGAACATGCTGCCTCACTGGCCAATTGCATATCGGGACTATCCGGTACACTGGGTGCAATTCTGAGCACAATCGCAGTTGATCGAGTGAGTTGCCGAACTTCCAGAGCAATAGTTCACAATTAAGCAGATACAAAAGTAATGATGCATCAGAACGGGGAACGCCAGAGCGCACAGTCACTGGAAAAAAGGAGGTGACAGATAATATGAATGGTTAATAAAAGAAATACTAAGGGCCTTACTCTCAAGAAGGCAAACCGCTCTTCATACACCTCCTAAGGCTCTAAACCGGGCAATAAATAAAACTGGTGCGAGACAGTGCACGCGCGAAGCACTCTGTGGAACAACTCACGATTCCAAACTTCTTTAACCACTGAAGTTTCTAACTCTCACGTTCCCATAAAACTGATTTCTACTCAGAATTCTTCGCTGGCTAAATCGTTACAGTCAGGAATGCTCCTCAGAAACGTGAAGACCAAAACTGTTACATGAACTTTCTGAGCAAGTTGTGAGCGATCGAAACTGGAAGGAAATGCAGGGGCAGTATCTCGGTAGTAGGGGGCGAGCCGATCTCTCCGCAGCAGCTATTTTGATTTTCTGAAAATTTGCTCACACCGGGGAATCGGTGAAGTCTAACTCACGATTAGAACAGCTCATTCTCATTGCGGGGGACCATCCAGCGCGCCAGCTTAGCGCGGTTTCACAATCTATTTTTTTCAGCTTTCTTACGAAGTTTTACCACTCACAGCTTGGTATGAAAATTCATGTAACATTTTAGTCTTCATATTTGTTGCTGCTATCACGGGCCCTATCTATTTACCTTGATCTCCATCCAAAACCCAGGGAATTTGGAAGCATTCCTCGATAAGATAATGCGTTTGTGTAGAATGCGTACGATAGATATGCCGGAGAAATTGATTAAGCCTGCTATAATACTTTACTTTTGTTTGATTTATCTCAGATGTCGAAACAAGCTGAAGAGAAGAGTGCATTCATATGGGATAACCTACACCTGTTCTGGTATAAAGCATTAAATATTAGAGTCTTTATAATCATCAATTCAGCTGGGTCGTCGCGTGATGGTGCTCGGCTCGTTACTCTTTCTTTGCTGCCATAAACACCTCAATGATGTTACTAGCGTATTATTTCAACACCACGAAACAATCATGGGTTGGCTGGGGATTTCTTCTGCTGTTCGTCGTGTTTCTATTTGTCTTCAGGTACAGATTTTGCTGTTTACGGAAACAGGGCTTATCGGAAATTCGAAAAAAAAAAAACAATTGCAAGTAGATGTTTCGGATGACAAAATTCGAATGCCTTTTCAGTGCCGGTATTGGACCAACGGCTTGGTTTCTGGGCGCCGAACTGGCTCCAGCAGGAAGCCGTGCAAGAATGCAATCCATGAGCGTCGCTGCACAGTCAGTTACAGAATGAACTTTGTTATTTGAGAGTTTTTCTTCGTAGTCTTGAAGAAGCTCTCCGAAATCCAGACCAGCGCATCGCGCCTCATTTTGAAAATTCCTTATGACAGCCACAAGTAGCACCAGATTAGCCAACTTAAAAATGTGACATGAATACAAGAGCAGGACCTGGCCTTAACATTGTCCTCTCGGGAAAAAATGCAACAATGTTGCATTGAGGCATTGTGAGAATAGTTTATGGGAAGTCAGCGACATTTTAAAGGATGCAGTATTAACCCTTTGACGACCGTGTGGCCCGCCGGTGGGCCACACTTTCGCTCGGTGGCGACACGTTTTTCGTGGTTTATTTTGGCATTTTTATGTTTCAAAACTACACAAATACATTATCGAATTCGCGGAATAATGCGCTAATTACTAATAGTGAAATTGTTGGAGAGTTAATGATTATTGATGAAAAAATTTAGAAAGAAGTGAAGTGACGCATTCATAACGGCGGTCGTCAAAGGGTTAAACAGTGAATTCGCTGGACCTATAATGCACAGGGCAAAAAAATGTGGACTTCTGTTGATGGCGCACTTCAGCAAGCTTTTCATCGAACAGAGTGCCAGCGCTAATAGAAGTTCGCGGCAAAATGCTCCTAGAGTATTCCTCCAAGAGCAAAAACGTACCCGTGCCTACTACCCTCCCCATCTTCAGAATAACGTTATCTGCCATCGCCGTCGAGCTCAAAGAGACCAGTTGTAATTACTCCATCTTGAAGCTGCTGCCTGATTTCTCCAGCCAATTCACTGGAGAGTTTTCTAGAAATAGTAGCACTGATTATGAAAGACCCCTGCCGACCAGCATTTTACGACCGAGGAATTCCTTCAGCTCGAAACCCACCACGTTTCGGCAGCAGATTCTTCTGACTTCACCCTATAAGAACTATTATTATGAATGGAAATAATGTTCCATGATGAAAGTTTTAGTATACAAAACGAAAGTTGTAATGAAAGCTATGAATACATTATTTTTTGATGGAGATTGTTCTATAGATTCCAATGTGCTCTTCAATAATTTGTTGAAAGGAACGGATTGAGTTCACAAGTGTGATCAGCTCATTTCGGGAGTGATGGGAGAGTGTCTTTCTTCTGTCCTTCCCCTCACTCCACCCTCCTCACCGCCTCTGGATTTCTGATAATTGCTCTGCTTCAGGAAAATTGTATGCGGCTTAGAAACTTCTCCAAAAGCTTCAGTTTACTGGGAACTTATGTAAAATGGCATCCAATAAGTTG